GTCCTTGTTGAGTTTTTCGCAGAACTGTTTGAAGTTGTCAATCTTTTTGTTTTTTAAACCTACTCTACATCTGGATTCCGCAATTTTGAAGTTGATGTAATCTGCACAAGTTTTGGTAAATTTGTATTTTAATAAAGCGGCTTTCCTTAGTCTAGTGAGTTTTTCGCAGTCCTTGTCCTACCAAGGAGATGAAGGAAGGAGCTTCGGTTTGTAAAGGATTGTGGATTTTGATCTAAGAGAGTTCTTGATGCCTCCAGTCGAGATAGTTATTGAGTCCTTGATGAGTTCTAGAAAGGCCAGATAACGGGTGTAGATGTCCGGAAAGGAGCTCTTGTCGTAATATTCGGAGGCTAAGTGAAGGGATATGTTATTTCGGAATTTATTCCAGTCCGTGGATTTGGAGTGTAACCTTTTAGTACCTCTAGAGTGAGAGTAGGATCTGAGAGAACTAGTGAAAGAGATATTGATGGGAAAGTGGTCGCTACCATGGAGGTCTGGATCTACTTCCCAAGTTAACTCAATATTGGAAAGAGGGTCACAAATGGTAAGGTCTGGCGAGGATTCGATTGAGAGAGAGGCATTAAAGAATGTGAGGGATCCCGTGTTTGAGATCACTAGGTCGGAGGATTCCAGTCCCTTTATAAGATTCTCCCCGTTCCGACAGGATTTCAGACTTCCCCATAAGGGGTGGTGAGAGTTAAAGTCCCCTCCTATAATTGTCCTACCTGAGAATTAGTTGAAAAATTTGGTCCAGTTGGAGATAGGAATAAGGCGGCCTGAAGCGGGTCTGTAGCAGGAGACCAGGGAGATGTCCCCGGAACCGGCGTAAAGCCTGACGCCACAAGTCTCCAATTCTCCGTCGCAATCGTAAAGGTTATCTAGGTAAGTATACTTGATTCCCTTGCGAAGGCATATTGCAACACCTCCGCCCCGCCTTAGCCTTCTATCCTTTCGGACGGTTTCGAAATGTTTTATATTAAAGTTCGATTCGTTCGAAAGCCAAGTTTCTGAAAGTAGAAGAATGTCAGATTCTCTCACAAGTTGGTTAATATCAATTAGTCTTGTGAGTGTGTTCCTACAATTCCACTGAGTTAGCTTGATCTTGAGAGGGGGGTGGTGAGCCATTGTCGACGAGGTTAGGAGTGTTTTGGGTTGGGTTCGAAACGTAATCCAAAGACTTACTGGTTATTCCCGCATTTTTAATTAGGTCTGCGCTCCCCCTGTTACATAGCTGTTCAATGCTAGTGAGTAATTTAAGAAGTAGAGCTTTCATACTGTGCGGGTCCTCGAGCAGTTTGGCGAACGGAGAGATAGGCTGTGAGATACTTTTCAGTGCTTCTGAGTAACGAGTCCTTGGGCTGACTTGCTCGGGAAGTTCCGGGAAGTTGCTCCTGGTAAGAAGCGGTGGAGAATCCCTCGAGGTAACAGTTCCGTTGGATTCTATATATTTGAAAGGGGCCACAGCTCCTTCAGGACTCCGGAACAGGGGTGGGGCAGGCAAGGCCAAAGGAACTTGCACGTGTCTCCTTTTGCAACCGCTGTATTTCCTCTTTCGTACAAGGTCTCCTCACTCGCCACTTCTCCGCTCGCTATCGCTCCCTCCTCTTTCTCTGCTTCTCGCTATCTCTCGCTTCTCTTTCGCTGTTTCTCGCTATCTCTCGCTTCTAAACTGTGCGTCACTAGAAGGCGAAACGGACGCGTCTTCTCCGATACGCTTCGCCCGTCGCGCCGAGCGCGGCGCCAGCTGCTACGGTACCGCGCGCGGACGGGAACGTCGCGGCCCGCGCGAGGAAGACCTCTCTAGGTCGCAAGCTCTGCTTCCGTCGCTGGCGCGAAACGGAAGTGGCAGAAGTTGGCGCTACATATTTCCTGGCTTCGAAGAAAGACACGTTCTCGATGGCCATGTATCTGGTGATAGCAGCTCGTTTTAGGTACACTATACAGTCCCGATCACGTGTGGAATGGTTCCCGTCGCAGTTTATGCATCTTTTCTTCTCCCTGCATGGAGATTCGGGGGAGTTCCTGTGTCCTCCGCTGCACTCCAGGCATCTTTCCGCAGATCGACAAAACTTAGTGGTATGTCCAAAGCGGCCGCATTTGTAACAAAGGCGGACCGCCGGAATGTAGGGCGAGACGTTAATTCTGGCTTTCCAAATAAGGATGGTGTCCGGTAAGGTTTGTCCTCGGAACTCAACACAAACAGTAGGTGAGTCAACCCATGTATTGGTCTCCTTGTTCTTCCTTTTCAGTCGGAAAGCGCTGCCGACCAAGATTTTAGGGTTCGCGCTGTTGATGCACTGGGTGATTTCGTCCAATGGGGCGTCCATGGGAATTCCTCTTATTATGCCTTTACGAGTAAGCAGTGATCTAGGGATAAAGGCAGTGAGACCGAGTTGTTTTAAGTAGGGGTTATTGACCGAGTCGTTGGCATCCGATCTGGAGATAAAAGAGATTCGCCACAGGTTCCTCCCCTGAGGCCTACACTCCATATATTTAACGTTAGATTTGTATAGTAAGCGGGAGATGTCCAGGAAGGATGTTATGGATCTGTAAGAGGGGTTCTCTTGTTGTTGGGACTGTTTCAATAATACGTAGAAAGGTGCCTTACAGTATGCGTCGTATTTGTCCTGTTTACCCGAATCCTGACCTTGAGGGGTCGGATTGCTCTGTGGCATCGATGAGGTGTCTCCTTTCCCCTCGGCCTTTTTCATCTTAGCCGCATGATGGAAGTTGGCTGAGTTTTGAGGAGGGGGAGGTATGCGATTACTGTCCTCCTGCATGTTCGAGACAAATAAGGACTCCTCTTCCTTTTTTCTCTTTTTCTGTTGTCTTCCCATCTTAGCGGATCTTGTTCCTGGAGCTATAGGGCCGAGTCACGTAACCCGGGAAGGCGCGAGGCGGCCGCCAATACGCTATGTATTAGCGGCCGTACAACACGATCGAGGAGAAGCAAGTGTTGTAAAAAAAAAAGACTCGAAACAGCAAGAACTGGTGCTGTGCAGCACAAAGAAACTGTCCTCCGCACTCACTAAGCGATGGGCTGTAGAAAACTTCTACAAGAGAGAGAGTTGCCTGCGGGATGATCCGTTCACTCGCAAGGCAGGCAGGAAACTCCATCGCTACTTCATTTCCTGGGTAAGTATGGTGGCAGCTCGTAGCGGAGGCGTTGAAATTAAAATTCCTATACCTAAAACTCGAACCATATTTAGCTGGGAATCAAATCATATTTAGCCGAGACTCGAACCATAGATAGCCCAGACTCGAACCGTTTTCAGCCCAAATTCGAACCATGTTTAGCCCAGACTCGAGTCATGTTTAACCAAGGCTCGAGTTCCCGGGGATCGGTAAATTTCTCGGCGTCGGTAAGTTTCCGGGGGGGGGGGGGGGGGGGTATGTTACATACAATTTGTATAATTTCCCACGACATTAAATGGAAGAATTGTACAAAGACACCGAGCGACTAATCTTAAGTTCCTAGTATTGCATTAGCGGCCGTAATCATTACGTGTATAATAATGATGTGACATAACTTCGCAATTGTACATGTAAATTCACCACGATCTCAGGTAGAACAGAAAATAAAGATGACGTGGAATGACGTCGAAATAATGAAAAAAATGATCGAAGAATGAATTTTACACCCATTATCCCGTTTTCATTTTGATATTATTTTGACGTCATTGTTATTTTTCTGTTCTGGGATGAGAGATCGTGAATGCGGTATGAAAGTTTTCAGGAAGTCGAATCTAGTCAATCGAAGAATCGATCACCTCCGTCAGTGAAACCGAATTCACACACATCTATCGTAATTCACGTGGTAAATTATAATTTTTTCGTTAAGTCCACTTTAGATCAATTTAAAGTGCACAGCAGGATGTAGGAAATTATATTTCATATCGACAAGGTACTGCAAAAACTATCGGGATAACGTTTCGGATAATGGTTGACGCTCGGCTGGCCGTTATTACCGACATTACCGACTGTTTTCTTCTGCGGCATTTTCTTTTAAGATCTTACGAGTAATGTCATCTGAATAGATTTCATCGTAGACATTAACATCGATCGTCAATACGTACGAGAAAATTCCGTTTATCTCGAGATCTACAGAATGCAACTTTGTTTCTTAAATTTTACCGCTATTTTCACTTTGACTCTTCAGATAATAACGTTCCGTACCTCGAGCAGACCCTGGTTGCTCGTGTTACGTCTAGATATTGAACGAGTGTAAAGATTTCTGTACTATCAACAGTTAGCGCGAAAATTTGAAATGCCTCCTTTATTTTTCGTCACTCTACATTTACCGGGTTTACGGGGATGTTGGAGGAGGTGATCTATCGTGTGAATAATATAACTTACTCACCTGGTTTAATTTTGTATATATATATATATATATATTTCCTTTACAATAAGGTTTCTTATAATATGGTGTAATCGTTATATAGAATGCTCTTTGGTAATCTTATTAAGGAAGCACAGAACGATACAGTAAAATTGAGTCAGAGAAGATACGTTTGCACAGTTAGACACTCAAAAAGCCAGTGCTACTGCAGGCAAGCATTGACCGTATCCACGGCGTCTTCCCTTGGTGGTGGGGGAAATAGGTATGCAGAGTAGCATAGATTTTTAATTGTCGTTCTGGCGCCTCTTGGTGCGTCTAGAGATGATATGCTCGGCCCGGGACGTGTCGGCTCGTTTTGTTTATAAGAGCGGTATCTGGTGATTTCCTGCACGTGGCGTTAAGTTGCTTCCATTGATGACTTTTATGATTTCGAAGAATCGTCTTTCTTACAATAAACTATACTTTAATAATATAAAATAGTGTATAAGACCTTTAAGATGGTTGTTATGTTTTGGTCTATTCACTGCATCGTTCACCTATTCTATTTTGTAATAAATAATCCTTAATTAACGATCTTAAAATTTAGTTAATTGATTAACTTAAAATTAATTTTATTTTGTGTTTCAATCTTGCTCCTGTTATTTGTGCCTAGTAGATATGTTCAATTCCCCTTTTATCATTCGGTGTAAATCTCTTTCTTACCATTCTCTTAAAAAAATTATTTTTATTTGGTGCGGCCGTCACACACGACATAAATTCAGGAACAGTACGCTAGATTCAAGATACTGAAGACATGCAGAGGCACCATCTGTTGCGGCCTCCGCACATTAATACGTCGGTATCGACAAACCTTTTTTACGACGGCCGGATTTGAATTCTCCGCTGCTGCGACCCGACGAAGACGTTGCGCTGTGTTGACATTCCCGATGACGGCCCTCACGTGAGGTAATCCTTTTCGATGAAGAACATGACGAACGTACGACACTTGCCCGACACTCCCGACCGACGCACTTTCCGCGCTTGTTTATTTGTAGCGCCAACTTCTGCCACTTCCGTTTCGCGCCAGCGACGGAAGCAGAGCTTGCGACCTAGAGAGGTCTTCCTCGCGCGGGCCGCGACGTTCCCGTCCGCGTGCGGTACCGTAGCAGCTGGCGCCGCGCTCGGCGCGACGGGCGAAGCGTATCGGAGAAGACGCGTCCGTTTCGCCTTCTAGTGACGCACAGTTTAGAAGCGAGAGATAGCGAGAAGCAGCGAAAGAGAAGCGAGAGATAGCGAGAAGCAGAGAGAGAGAAGCGAGCGATAGCGAGAAGCAGCGAGAGAGAAGCGAGCGATAGCGAGAAGCAGCGAGAGAGGAGGGAGCGATAGCGAGCGGAGAAGTGGCGAGTGAGGAGACCTTGTACGAAAGAGGAAATACAGCGTTTGTAAAAGGAGACACGTGCAAGTTCCTTCGGCCTTGCCTGCCCCACCCCTGTTCCGGAGTCCTGAAGGAGCTGTGGCCCCCTTCATATTTACCGCGACGACACTCGCCGCGCGAAACGAGACGAGGCCCACATTCGACGTTCTCATCGGACGCAATAATTCGTAGAGGAAGCTCGCACATTCGGCCCGAAAACGACGAGAAACACGGGACGAGCGGACGGCGTCGCGCCTCTCGCGATAGCCATCTTTTAACTGACCACTCGTAACGAACAGATTACGATTCTCGAAGTACGAATATGAGCGAACTTCACTCGATAACGCCGACCAGTGGTGACGCGAAACACTTGATTTTGGCAGTATTTTCGACGGTATCTCGCTACGACAAGTACGCGAGAATTAATTCCTCCACCTGCGACGACATTTCGTATGAAAAACCTCCCCTCCGGAGGGTCGGAAAAGCAACGGGTTGAACTTTTGATCGCTATAACGGCCTGATCGCGACATTGTTCGGCTGACACACTTCGTCCCGCGATTTACCCGCTCTTCTGGGGACTATTTTACTACGATACTTTGTTATAACAAATGTACGTACCTTGCATTCGGCACTTTCACCGGCGGTAACTGATTTTCAGACCGGCTAAAATCGCGTGAAACACAGGACGAGCTTTCGAACGCCGTTCCCGTTGCAATCGCCCCGGCATAACTGACCGACGTTCCTGACGTTTGCGATAATTGCAAATCTCGATGTATCGAAGCACCCGATGTTTGACAGCCAATCACGGTTCGTTCACATATTTATTGAAA